TTCACCGTGGACATGCTTCGGCGGATTACTCAGCCGTGGATTCGGCCGCGAAGACCGTCGTTTCTCTCCCCTCGGCCGTACAGTCCCTTCCTCTTCATTATTCCCGTCTTTCCGATTCACACCGTTCCGACTCTCACCCCGTTCCGTTACTTTCCTCTCAACCCTAACCACTTCCCCTTCGTTTCGCTCAACGGACTTAGCCGCCGATACCTCTCTCCCAAACACACATCCCATATTTCTCAACCAACAACAACACACTCATCGCTTCGCTCACAACATTTTATCACTTTTGCCTCCATCCCAACATAATAATAATAATAATAATTCAGGGAAGCAAATCTCAGAAAGAAGAAAAGAAAAAGACATTAATTAGAGAATGCAGATGGGGATAATTGAAGAGGATGATGACCTAAGACCTAGCTTTTTTAAGACAAAAGGAAAGGAGAGAAATGATTTGAAGGTGGCCACAAATTGTGGGCAGAGTCAAAAAAACAAACAAAAAAATGTGAGCTTCAAGATGAAAAAGCAAAACCCAAACAGTAAAATAAAACTAGCTTTTCCTTGTGTATTGTATTTTGATTGAGGAAAATTGTTGAGAATTAATGGTGGCAAAAATAAAATTAAATAATAATGAGTAAATTTGTCTGTATTTATGTATTTAGATTTGTGAAGAATGTCAAGAAAGAGAAACTGGAGATCTGTTTTCTTTCTCTTCTTTCTACTGTCTCTTTCCGGTCTTTATAATTTTTGACTCTTTAGTGTGGTTAAGGGAGGGGTTTATAACAATGTCCTCCTCAAGGTTTGAGGAAATTTAAACACACCCAAAGGTTTCATATAGTAACAATAACATCAAAAATATTGACTACTTTATCATATATAATTCTTTGAGTATGGAATTTAATTAAATTTAGAGTTTATATAATTAGAAAAAGGGTATTATGGTAAAGTGATCAATTTTTTGGTTGTATTTGTTACTATCTATATCCCTTGAGTGTGTTTTACTTGTCCTTGAACTTTAAGGAGGACGTTGGTATAACCCCTGGTGAAGAGAAGAAAGAGGAATTAAACCTCACCAAACTATACTGTACTATACAGTGGATATGTTTTTTAATACCAAATCACCTAATTTATTTAATACTTGTATCTTATAATTAAATATTATCACACAATCTTCGTTTTTATATTTCATTCAAAATTTGTATAATTAAAATTTGATTTGAATGGTTTAACATGTTTGATATTTGTATAAGAAAAATGTTATCCTTACAAAGACCCATACAAAGAGGGCTACAAAGTGATATCATCCATAAGAAAAAAAAAGGAAAAACGGAAAGAGAGAGAGAGAGAAATCATGAAAATCAAAGGTGGGGATTATCTTTGTATGCCCCCTTTGTATGTGTCTTTTGTAAAACTAGCATTGCTCTTTGTATAAATACATATGATAATGTGTACATGGTTGTACTTGTACACCTAAGATTTTCTTGTAAACTAACAATTTCATCCTTGAGGTTTGGCTTCAATACACTTTAGTCTTGTAGAATTTTATAATGACGTTTTGGTTATTGTCACATAGGGGTGTGCAAAAGAATTAGTTGGAACTATAATCGATTGGTACCCAGGGTTCCGGTTTCGGTTCATACCCAGAACTAGCACTCATAGGGTAGGTTTTGGTTCTAGAAATCAGGAATTGGTAGGTTCCGATTCCCATTCCATCCCTGTAGAAATCAGAAATTGGAACAGAAATCTAGATCTGGATACTCGGGTAGGAATCGGTATTGAAAATAATTTTTGTAAACTATTGAGGTGTATTTGTAATTTTTTAAAAGGTATAGGGTAATTAAAATTAACTTGGGTACCTGGAATTGATATTTTAGGTTTCGATTCCTGACTTCTAGGAACCAAAACTGGATGATTTCGATTCTGATTCTAAATTCAAGGAACCGACTGGTTCGGTTCCTTTGAATTTGGGCAGGTTTGGGTATTGTCACATTAGCAAATCTCAAGACCAAAACGATAGTAAAACATTCTACAAGAGCAAAGTCGTTAAAACCAAATTTTAGGGATGAAATTGTTATTATCCCTTAGATTTTATATCATACAGTACAGTCCAGATTGCCAGGCAATACAGGTCAAAATTCTCTCACTATCATTCAGGGAGCGTATGATATGGTGAGGAAGCTTCCATAATGTGCCATATGTAGTCGGCAAAATTTGCCACGTCAATGAAATTTAAACAGGCTCCATATGATTATGAGGTGGCGAATTATAACTGGGGGAGTGCGTGGTGGGGACTGTGGTGGGTACCACATTTAAAGTATATTCAACGAAAGATATTCTCTGCTTTACTTGGACCTATTTTCCAATCATATTGTCACATACATTTAAATAATAATATTAATATATTGTGTATTAAAGGAGAGTATCAATTGATTTATTTAAATTTTGGGGATATTTATTGTTTACTTAATATTGAAAACAGTAAAAGCGTTGCATAGTGAATTGATAAAGGCCAAACAAAAAGGGAAAAATGAGAAAATGAGGAAACAGATCTTCCAAAAATAAAAATGCTCCAATGTCAGCAATTGTGTCTTTTCAATTTCCAGAAGACGAAGCCTTTCCCTCTCCACTCGCCAAAACAATACATAAAGCTAAAGTGTCCTTTTTTTTTTTTTTTTTTTTTTTAATCGTTTCGGGTAATTTAAATGTATTTCAAATAATCTTTTAAGTCTTAAAATTATTAGCCGGATAAAAGTTCTAATAATCACTTCTATTAATGTTTGGAAAGACACAAACTCATAAGCTCATAAATAGAGATGAGCATGGGTAAAAGGTAAAACTGAAATCGAAACTGACTCTAGTAGGGTCTGATTCTGATTTTGAAAAATTGGAACCAAGAATTTCCGGTTTAATTTCGATTCCTATAGTATTGGAACCAGGAACCGAAATCATAATCGAAACCGAAACTGAGGTTTGGATACCTAGGTAAGAACCAAGACTGGATTGTAATTTTTGTAAACTATTGAGGGTGTATTATAATTTTTTAAGGGTGTATCTATCATATTTAAAAAGTATAGGGTAATTGAAATTAACCAAGGTACCCGAAACTAAAACCGAAACCGAAACTGAAACTTATGTTTCAGGTTTCTAGGAACCAGAACCGATCAGTTTCTGTTATAGTTCTTTCAAACAGTGCAAGGTACTTAGGACCGCCCACCCTTCTTCATAAAATTTTCTTTTACTCTTTTATCATCAAGTCATCTAATTGTGGTTAACATAAGCAAAATTATATTCATAAGGAAATTACCATCATATATTAGCCCACAACACTGATATTAATAAAAGGTATTGTTTTCATAAAAGGTGAGGGGTTGTTTTATTTAACCATTTTTCTTGTACTCCAAGGGCGCACGATTAAAGACATTACGAAAGATACGGAGTGATTAGAATGGGTTTACGAAGAAGACAAGGACAGAAGAACAAGGTTGTTAAGGTAGGTGAACAATGAGAAAAAATATAAGTTAAGTTTGGATGAAATTAATTGAAGTTAAATAAAAATTGGAAGTAGGTTTAGGTAAAACAAATTAGACAAGGTGGAAAAAGGAGAATGATGTAAGTGAAGAGTTGTTGGCTTGTTGTATTCTACTTCCAACTATAATTTTTTATTTTTTTTTTATTTATGAGTGTATTTTACCTAACTTCTACTTAAAAATTGTATTTTACCAAACCAAAATTGTGTGGTTCACTCATTTTATTTATTTAATTTTTTGAAGTTGTTCATCTTCAATATGATATGAAGTGGGTGAAAATCGTCAAGTTGATATCTACTTATTATAATTTATCTCAAATTCCTAATTTGTGATCAGTAATAATATGATGAAAAGTCGACTGTCGTAATTATCATTCTCTAGGATGGTATCGTCCAACAAGGTTATAAGAGAGTTGATGTAGATCTTTCAAAACTCTAGTAGTAGGCACAACACAATTTAAATGATTAATTAGCTAACAAATGAAGAAAGCAAGGTAATTATCTACACTAGAGTGACATGTTCTCTATTTTAAGGTTATTTTATGTGTTTTAGGGGAGGATTGATTACGTGTTTTTATACCTTTATTTGCTACGTATCAGATCTTGATAATCTAATCCGGAAGTCACTAGAAGTAAATGATAACAGACAATATAATGTAATATATTGTTATACATATGAAATCATCAAATCCTTAAACAATTATCAATTATCTAGATTATTTGTATCCATCATAGTACTTTTTTTGACAAATTATTTGGATAATTATCTAGATTAACTATATTAACACTATGATGTCTATAGATATGCATGGATCACATTATCAAATACATATGAAAGAAGCAAGTAATTAATACGAAAGAATTAACTTATAATACACTTAAATAAAGTAGTTGATTATAATAAGTGTTTCAATAATCACACATTCCTCCCACGCTCTCTTACTTCATCTTCACATATTTATGCTTCTCAACTACTCATATTATGGTGCTACATCCTTAATCATACAAAACTTATAATCATCAATATAAAATTACTAGGATAACCTCTTCTCTCGTGATCGGATGACAAATCTTTTAGCTATTGAGGTTAGCTATAAGCCTATAATCGGGGAAGGAGGGAGGGGAGGGGTTGTGTTTGAGTTGCATGAGAGACCTACCATATTTATATAATTACCCTAATCTATTAAATTTGTAAGTTGTTAACCATAACAATTAGATAGGTTATAAGGGAGTTTTAGGTACCATAGACACTTGGAATAAAAAATTATCAGGATAAAATTGCACAAAAACGTCGTCGTTGGGAAGCTGGAATCCTCTTGTGACCGTCGGGTAAAAAAGAAATATAACGGGCAACGAAGAGTCAACACTCAACATCATCCTAATTAAACGAATTCCTCGGTCCACGTGTTGAAAATATATTGGTTGGTGAAGAATCCGCATAACCCACCTAAATCCATTTGGTGTCTCCTTAATTTCTCTCGGGCTGAGCGTAAACGAAACCCAATCAACATCTTATTATCTCTTTCAAACCGCACTTAAATGGGTACCAATACCATTTCTTGTGCCAGACTTTTTTACAGTCATTACTTAGTTGTTGACTTCTTCACCTCCCAAAAATCCCTATTCTTAAAGAATCAAACTTGCAGAGTCAAACCATTCAGACCCTCCATGTCATCAGTGTTATCGTCAATGGCGAGTTCTTTCCAAGTCAAAGCATCTTCAACCGCGGGTAATTATGCATGTTGTTTTATTTTTAGTTAATAGTGTGTTTGATGTTTTGTTTGAGTTAAATTAAGTTATGTTTATGCAGTGAATGAGGAAGCGAAGGGTGCGTCGTCTGGTTTGGTGGGAGAGAATGATTTGCTTATTGTTGGTCCCGGGGTTCTGGGCCGTTTAGTTGCTGATAAATGGAGGCAGGTATAGCTTAAAGTTTAAATTTTTATTAGCTGTTTTTGTATTATTTTAATTTTTCTTTCTTGGGTATTTTTAGAAATTGTGGTTAGTTTAGTTTAGGTCTCTTTGTTTGCTATACGGGATTAGTGATTTTTGGGATAAAAGAGAGAGATAATGGGGTTTAATGTTGAGTAGGAACATCCAGGATGTCAAATTTATGGGCAGACGGTGACAGCGGATCACCATGATGAATTGATCGAGATGGGGATTAATCCATCTTTGAAAGGGACTGAAGTGACTCAGAAGTTTCCCTATGTGATTTTTTGTGCTCCTCCATCCCGAACTTCGGACTACCCTGGTGATGTCAGGTAATTGTGGAAGCTTAGTTGTTTATTTTCTCAAGTTTTGAAATGCAGTGAAGACAAGTTTGGAGCTTCTGGAAAGCAATGTTTGTTTGTCTGAGATGGGTTTATAAATGGATATAATCATGGTATATTGTTTCAAATTTTGTTTAGTATTGTTGAATTAAGCAATCCTGGTGACTTCACTTGAACAAACACTCTTTAACTTATCAAAATGTACTTTGTATTCTGAGGGATGCTTGAGGCTTTAAACATTATTATACTCAACAACTAATGGAATTACAGTTTAAAACGTGTCTCCGTCATTTTAAATGACCAGGCTATGGTATCTTGTGAATTAATATCTATCTATTTTGAGGGGTTAAAAAGAAAAAATGCTGTCTCTTGCTCAATGTACATATCATTTTTAGTTCCAAGGAGGAGACCTTACCAAACATAGGCCAAAAGTACTTATCATTTTTCCTTTTAACTTGTTTGTTTTATAATAAGGCAACTCCATCAAGCACTGCAATGGGTTAAAAAAGCCTATTGCATATTTTCAAAAAGTGTTATAACAGAAACTAAACTATGAAGGAAAAAGTCTGCAGAGCATAGTCTTGGTTTCCTGATTTCTATAGTTACTAAAAGGGATTGATTTAATGCCCCCCCTACTCATCTCTATTAACTGAGTTTATTGTTTGAACTCTTAACCAATCAGGCTTGCTGCATCGAGTTGGAATGGTGAAGGCTCTTTCTTGTTTACATCAAGCTCTGCACCATATGATTGCTTTGACAATGGATCATGTGATGAGGTGCACATCTAACATGAAACATTTTTCTGATAGTTGCATTTGTTTTTAAAATTCTTCTTCTTTAGACCTGAAAGAGGCATACCATACCACGTTGACTCAGAGATATATCATTGTCTTCTAAATTCAATCTGCCAACTTGTTTGGTGACTTTACCAAATGATATGCTGCATATGCAATTGAGATTTTCTTGTTTGGTGAAAGGTGATTTTCTTACATAGTGTTAATATCCTTAACAGGACAGTCCAGTGGTGCCAATTGGGAGGAGCCCTAGGACAGATGTTCTTCTAAAAGCCGAGAAAGTGGTGCTAGAATTTGGCGGTTGTGTCGTTAGATTGGCTGGACTTTATATATCCTTTATTTATATTTGTTGAAGAAAGTTCAGAGACTTTTGTTGTTACTTACTGAAAAGGCTTTGGGATTCTTTATCCATACTGGTATTATGTGTAGTAACCTTAACTATTTATACAAAGAAGATAGAGGTGCACATGTTTATTGGTTACAGAAGCAGACTGTTGAAGTTCGTCCAGATCACATCCTGAATCTGATACATTATGAGGTGAAAACCTTGTCCTTGCATTTCTTGATTTATCTCTGTGTTATGGTTACCAGCTGTTATGCTGGAACACTGAATTGAGTGTTTGTTCTAATTTTTGTGGTTTTTAACAGGATGCAGCTTCCCTATCAGTTGCAATTTTGAAGAAGAAGTTTCGTGGCCGAATTTTCTTGGGTTGTGATAACCATCCTTTATCCAGGTTGGCATCAATATTATGACAAGATGAAAAATCTATCCACATTTTTAAAAAAAGGGGAAAGAATCATTTATACTGCTTTAAATTTGTTCATCTCTTTGCAGGCAGGAAGTAATGGATTTGGTTAGTATACGTGGGAAATTCAGTAAAAAGTTTGAGGGCTTTACAGGTAAGCTCCCAAATGATGTGTTATAGATGGATGATAAATCACAGGTTAAGTATCAATTATAGCTTTACTAACACGATGTATGGTGGCATCCTAGTGTCGACATTATTAACATTCCACTGATTTTTTTCTTTCTTTTTTCCTTGTAGGAGCCACTTTTTGTTGTTTGGTTTTTGGACTCAAGAAAGTTTGTGTATTTCGTATTTGCAGGTACCAATGATCCTTTAGGTAAGAGATTAAACAACTCAAAAACTCGAGAGGAAATAGGATGGGAGCCAAAATACCCCAGCTTTGCTCAATTCCTTGGANCTACTCATCTCTATTAACTGAGTTTATTGTTTGAACTCTTAACCAATCAGGCTTGCTGCATCGAGTTGGAATGGTGAAGGCTCTTTCCTGTTTACATCAAGCTCTGCACCATATGATTGCTTTGACAATGGATCATGTGATGAGGTGCACATCTAACATGAAACATTTTTCTGATAGTTGCATTTGTTTTTAAAATTCTTCTTCTTTAGACCTGAAAGAGGCATACCATACCACATTGACTCAGAGATATATCATTGTCTTCTAAATTCAATCTGCCAACTTGTTTGGTGACTTTACCAAACGATATGCTGCATATGCAATTGAGATTTTCTTGTTTGGTGAAAGGTGATTTTCTTACATAGTGTTAATATCCTTAACAGGACAGTCCAGTGGTGCCAATTGGGAGGAGCCCTAGGACAGATGTTCTTCTAAAAGCCGAGAAAGTGGTGCTAGAATTTGGCGGTTGTGTCGTTAGATTGGCTGGACTTTACATATCCTTTATTTATATTTGTTGAAGAAAGTTCAGAGACTTTTGTTGTTACTTACTGAAAAGGCTTTGGGATTCTTTATCCATACTGGTATTATGTGTAGTAACCTTAACTATTTATACAAGGCAGATAGAGGTGCACATGTCTATTGGTTACAGAAGCAGACTGTTGAAGTTCGTCCAGATCACATCCTGAATCTGATACATTATGAGGTGAAAACCTTGTCCTTGCATTTCTTGATTTATCACTGTGTTATGGTTACCAGCTGTTATGCTGGAACACTGAATTGAGTGCTTGTTCTAATTTTTGTGGTTGTTAACAGGATGCAGCTTCCCTATCAGTTGCAATTTTGAAGAAAAAGTTTCGTGGCCGAATTTTCTTGGGTTGTGATAACCATCCTTTATCCAGGTTGGCATCAATATTATGACAAGATGAAAAATCTATCCACATTTTTAAAAAAAGGGGAAAGAATAATTTATACTGCTTTAAATTTGTTCATCTCTTTGCAGGCAGGAAGTAATGGATTTGGTTTGTAAAAGTGGGAAATTCAGTAAAAAGTTTGAGGGCTTTACAGGTAAGGTCCCAAATGATGTGTTATAGATGGATGATAAATCACAGGTTAAGTATCAATTATAGCTTTACTAACATGATGTATGGTGGCATCCTAGTGTCGACATTATTAGCATTCCATTGATTTTTTCTTTCTTTTTTCCTTGTAGGAGCTACTTTTTGTTGTTTGGTTTTTGGACTCAAGAAAGTTTGTGTATTTCGTATTTGCAGGTACCAACGATCCTTTAGGTAAGAGATTAAACAACTCAAAAACTCGAGAGGAAATAGGATGGGAGCCAAAATACCCCAGCTTTGCTCAATTCCTTGGATTTTCCGAGTAACTGTTGCAATTATCTTCAATCTTCAGAATGAATCCAATCAAATCGGAAAGAATTGGTTTAGCTGGTACTGAGAATGCTTCACCATGGAACTGACTGATATTTGCTTGTCTTAACTTCCTTCCCATTTGGCGAATTGACTTGTAAATAAGAGTGATACCAAGTTAAGAACAGTACCTTATTCTAATAAAATAAAATTTTCTATTCTTTGTGGTCATTGTAGAAGTCTTCTGTGCATTTAATTCTCTTAGTAGATGATCATAACATTTCACTCAAGTTATCTGTGCCTTACTGTATGGACTGCTGAACTGCCCTTTGACCTGGTAATCTTAATGCATGGGGATTGATGGTGAATTACATTCTTTGATCTATAAACTGTAAACTGTAAAGTGCAAATTAAGCAATCAATGACGGTCAACTATGTTTACTGTTTAGATCCAACATTGGGATTCCTAAACAATGACAATATTAAATAGTAAATGTGCAGATTACAAAATCTCAGTCACCCAATTGGTCTTTTCAAGAGTTAATCTGGTAAAGAAGAAGCTACTCATGGGATGAAAATTTCACATGACAATTAAGCAACATGGGCATTGATGTGTTGGCATTATCACCATTTCACGTTTGTGCATCATGCTCATAGATAGGGCAATCTTGCCTTATTATTACCACCATCATCAGTGTCAACATGGCTACTCATCCTCATCCTCATCCTCATCCTCATCACATCATCATCATACATCAACCATCATCGTTGGAATTATTAATGTCAATTGGCCATCATGTTTACTAATTGTATTAAATACTGAACTTGGAAAGAGAGTGTACGAGAAGGAAAAGACAAAGAGCTATGGTATCCTACAGGACCCAATTCGGTACAGGATTAGCATGCGTAATTGGTTTGATTAATTTAGGGCCATGAGCTGGAGAATATTCAACCAAAGACTCCTTGGAAGGTTCCAGGTAAACTAAAACTGTATAGAAAATCACAAGTCAAGTTGACTTCATTTTGAGATGCCGTCTTCTGTTCTCTTTATATTATTCTTTCCTCCTCCCTAGTAAAGACACAAAGAAAACGAGAAATGGGGAAGTTGTGTTGCGCAGAGTCTGATGATGGTGGTTTAGATTTCATGGGATTTCTCATTGTGATTGTCATAGCTCTTGCCATCATGGTTGTCTGCTCTCCACAACCAAGGCCAGCTGTTTACGCCGTGTACCGTTGCCGATGAAAGATTTACGCCATCTCTGTTTCTTTTCCCTGTATCTTTTCATGGTTCTTGTAGCTGCATACAGCAGATGGTAATAACACCTATGATAGCTTCATAGATTTTTTATGTGTTTACTTTCAAGGAAACAAGTTGTTTGTCTGCTATTGAAAGATTGAATATAATTGGTTCTTTTCTCTACTTGGCATACTTCTTTTCATTTATTTATAGGAAGTAACTATTCTTCATTGTTATTTCTTATTGTCTTTCGAATTCCATGTTTAATATCATTCTCTGATTGGTCTTATTCACCATGCAACTTAAAGATTACTCTCTCTAAAAGAGGCCTAAAGGTGGGTCTCAGAAGCAATAAATGGGTGAACAAACCAGGAAAGAATTTGACTGCCCTAAGAAGTATGCCAAACTAACTGCTATAACTATAAGTCCACACTGCAAATTTCAAACAAACTTTATTCGGATATGGCATTTCAAAGATCATTAATATGTTACAATTTGCTATATTTTTTATGATTTATGAAATAAATACACAAATCCTTGAAATACGGTTTTCTGATAAGCTATACAATGATAACAGAAGCTTATGTACATATGTGCATCATTATAACGTTTTTAACCCAGAGCCTGGGAGCTTTGACAACACCATGGAGTGCGTGAAGGATTAACAAAAGAGATCTGAACTCGTAAAACCTCATGAATGGCACCACGGTGAAGCACTCCTAGAACCTCTGCTTCTTTTGTCATTGCAAGATCTGCCAGAGAGACCCGACGGGAACGAGACTCATCTCGCATCCGGAAGCCATAGAACCATCTGCCAAGCTTCCACCATTTAACGCACACTTGACGCTCTGAAATCTTGCAACTCTGAAGTGCTTCCATTACAATCTCAGGCTGCCAATTATTATGTTCTAACATCATTGATCATATATCTTATAATCGCAAAAGTCAAAATGTTGCTAAATGCTATCTAATAATAATTAACTTGTAATTATGCAAAATCAGAACTTTTCCTCACAAACAAGCAAATTTTGATGAATGTTGTTTATGAAGACCCTGCCAACGTAGTATTCTCAGGTAGGCAGCTCACTGATATGTGAGGCCCCACATATAAATTGCAATTTAGGTGTTCAATTCATGTTTGCTACCCAACCATGGTGGACGTCGGGTACTTTTGTGAGAAGTATAATGCACAAGCTTTGATAACCAGAAAATAGATTGCAACAAGATAATAAGAAAAAGGTTCCTTTAACATGTGCATGGCCTTAACATTTGCATATGTAAAAGCAATGGGCTATCCATTACAAGATTAGCCAATGCTTATTTACAGGTAATTCTCTCTGAAATGTCCTATTTGGCTAAACTTGATATTACAGCACAATGCCATAATTGAATTGCATAGAGTACTTGCACACTAGCTATTGCTAAAAGCAGTTTTAAAGTGAACAGACTTTAAAGCTAGTACTTGACAAAAGACTTCTTCAGCAGGGAAAAGTCTTAATAAAGCTCACTATTGAACTAGGCTTAGGACTAGACAATCTGTAACTTGAAACTTTACCAACTCTAATTCAAATACCATTTTTAATACTGTTTTTATCCTTAAATGATGCCAAATTGTAGCATATACCATTTAGCCATAAACTCCCTGTTTCTATCTCTTCTGATTTCTTTGGTAGAGAAGACTCTCCACAGTGTGCTTCAGGGTTAGAAAACTTAAAAATTGCCAATAAAACACTTCAAGAGAAGAGAGGATAACCTTTATATAGAAGAGGAGCAGCTTAGAAATCAGCAAAAGTGGTAACCTAGGTAAACCCAAAATTATAATCATCTGGTATTCAATTAATCCATCAAGATAACTGAACTATTCAAAGTCCTTACAGCCATGTCCACTTCCAACTCTATTCCTACAGATGATGAAACGGCTGGCACAGGTTTACTACCCAGATATGGAATAGTTCTGATAAACCATAGACGTTGCTGACTATGGTTTTACATTTTTTATTCCCTCCTCCAAAAAGGACTGATGGAATGGGTAGTTATATTTGATGCAAAGACAACTTCCACTTGACGGACTCTCATACCACAATAATGATGTAATATAACCAATTAAAACAAGAACATGAACATTTACTCAAACTAGAATCATTCCCATTTCCGAAAATGCATATAAAACATCATAGCCTGATAAAGATGAAAATAAGAGGCAGGAGTAGTTACCGGCATTTTAAGCCAGAAAATGCAGTAGTGCAAGCCGACCAAGTTAAGCAACACATTCAGTTTCGGCTTAAACAGAAACATCTGCACATCTTTGAATCCAAGCTGTATAGCGTTTAGGTTTTCAATTGCATGTAGATAATCTCCAACCTCTAGTGACTCTGATCGCATGCATTGCTCCACATACTTAACCACATCACTTGTTCCACTTGCCATCTCATGATGCCGTTTCATATATAATTTCCTCCATCCCTATATAACCGAAAACTTTATTTTGTAAATACTTAAATCTCATTCACCTCTCTTAAGGTTTGATACGAAATGCGTACAAAATTATTCAAAGTTTCCAACCCATTTCAGACGTTCATGAATTCAACAAAAGAAACAACTCTAAATCTGTAAGTACTTAAACGACAGAGCTTTACAAATTTGATTAATATCTATTCAGGTTTGATGCAAATCGTGACAAAAATATTCAAGGTTTCTATAAAATTTAGAAAATAGTTGAACAAAGACACAAACTTTATATCTTTGTGTGCTTAAAAAAGAAAATTCACCCCAGGAAAATCAACGAAGTTATTCCAAATTCCAGTAACTACAAATAAGAAATTAAAATTCAATATATTAGAAAAAAAAATGATCCATACAGTTACAGAAGGTTCATTGAACATTGACAGAATTGGCCATCTTTGTCTTGTAAGAGATTCCCATATGCAATCCGACCCGCATAAGTTTCTCCAAAACCATGAACAACTTCCCAAAGCACACACTTCTGGTTCCTTAATTTCCCCAAAGTAAGATAGTCAAATCGTTAAAAAATTACCAAATTTATGAAAAAAATAAATAAATTCATTTATCATTACACTTGATGAATAAAGCATAAACCTCAAGGAATGAAGCAATCTTGAGGGCAATATCGTCAGGGAGTGAACTTTGAATAACACACTGCGATTGCTTCATGGTTGCCTGAGATTTTTTGTTAAAGTGAATGTTTCTCATCTCGTCTTCTTCTTCTTCTTCAGTTTGGGATGAAAATGAAACGATTCCATCGTTATTAATTGTATGCATTTTCCAGATGAAGATGAAACTTTAAAAAGGTAAAAACCTTATATATTTTTTGTCATGATACGCCACTACTACAAATGTGGAAGCTGGCTCTGATTTTGTAACTCTGACTTTCTGATAGATGATTCCAAGTAGTTGACGGTGGTGATTTGCTTATCGCGTATAAAACGGATGAAAACGGCGTCGTTATACAGCATGTTCTAGCTCTTGAAAACGGCGTCGTTATATATTTTAATAAATACCCATGAAAAAGGAAGTATCACCTTTTCTTTTTCGAGAAATACCCATCTAAGAAGCAAGTTTAAGCTACAATAAAAGGATTTAGAGGTGTTTCTGTGATGATCACAATTTCTTATGGAACAATGCAGAGCACATGGCAGTCTCCCTCCATGGCCAAATTTCTAATTTCTGAAGGTAAATGCACAATGCGCATACGCATACGCTATGTTTGCATTGAAAAACAAGCCAATGAGAATGACCCACCAGAACAAAACTATCTACTAACTTGTGAATTTATTTTCACTCGTCAAACTTTATAATTCTTTGTAAACTGCAATAATCTGAAGAACAATCAGAATCACAAAATTGACGGAAAAATGTGAATCACTTCGAGATGCATTGCAACATTTCATGTTGATCAGAAATAAAGACAGTAGGATAAGTTATTTCAAAGAATATATTCTTTTATTTATATAATGCTTTATTCTGAGTCACTATATATGTATATGTATATATATATATGGAATAGACAACATTAAATTATCTCACTANAATTCTTTGTAAACTGCAATAATCTGAAGAACAATCAGAATCACAAAATTGACGGAAAAATGTGAATCACTTCGAGATGCATTGCAACATTTCATGTTGATCAGAAATAAAGACAGTAGGATAAGTTATTTCAAAGAATATATTCTTTTATTTATATAATGCTTTATTCTGAGTCACTATATATGTATATGTATATATATATATGGAATAGACAACATTAAATTATCTCACTAACAGCCTTTAACAACTAGAACTATGCACACAGACTCAAAAGATTATCCGCTGCTCAAATTTGAAGCTTACTAAAGTCTGAACTTGCAGCTGATGTGTCCCCTCTTGGTTCTTTAGTTCTCTTCTCGGCCCCTGGAAATGATTGCTCCATGCCGGGATCTGGAGCTTTCTTAATAGGTGGAGCTGAACAAACTGGAACAACTGACCGGACATGAACTGCAGGTGCCATAAAATTAACTGAAGGCCTTCTTCCCATGTTCTTCATGCCTTCAGGCCAAGGTCTTGATGAACATGCAGATGCTGCAATCCTTACTGGAGGTGGAGCACACATAAGAGGATTTGAACTCTCAGTTCTGAGGCTACTGGTGGATATGGCACCAGCTGTTCTGATCGTCACAGGGGCTGCAAATGAAGCTGGCACAAAATTCTTGACTGATGCTGGAGAGCTAGTCATGGGGGTGTTTGGAGCTCTAACATTAGGCCGCAGATAGTCAAAGCCATCTGAGTTTTGTAACCGGAACTTGTTCCTGTCTGTGCTAATTGCACTGGTTCTATAACTAGCATCCATGAATCCGGGGGGAATCCAATTATACTGTTCAATTTGGTTGCTATGCAATTGAATTGAGTTTCTAACAGTGGGTGCTGAACCACCACTTTTCTCTTCATCCCTCTCCTGAAGCACCTGCATTTTATGCTCAGAATGACTGGTGAGGGTAACCAAAGAATTTGAAACTTCAGTTGGAGGAAGCCTGGGTACATTTGAAGGGAAATTGTTTTTCCAACAATTGGAACCTCCATCGCCCTTAGCCCATTCCTCTTCTATTTGAGAGTTTTCCTCTATCTCTTGTATAGTGACTTGGGAAACATTCCTAAAAGGAACAGGCATCACACGGTTTGAGAAATAGAGAAAAGGGCCAATTTCGGGAACAAGGGAAACAGGTTCTTGTGCCTGCTCCAGGAAACATTGTCCATGATCTGGCTGGAATAAGGATCTAATAAATGGAAAAAAGTGAGGTCTAGGGGGAGAAATTGGTAAAGATGAAAGTGCCAACAGGTGGTTCTGCTGCTGCGATGGTCTTTCTTGGGGATAAGTATGGTACATAGACAATTCTGGAGAAAACTGCGAGCACCGCCAATTTTGGTGCTGCAGAGAATATGATCTAGTATCACCATATGGGACTACATCCCTCCAAATGGGACCTGAACCCCGCCCAAGTCGCCTTTCTCTTTGTTGTGAATTTTTCGTTTCTGGTGGTTTTAGAGTAGCAAGATAACGGGCAATAATTACTTGTTCTTGGTCATCATTTGTTCCAGTCTCTGAAAATGGAGAAGAAGAAAAGGGAGAGGAAGAGGATGAAGAAGCTGACCTTGACACTGCACATGAGCACCATGAGAGAATATCAGACTGGGCCAGTAAGACACACATAACATTGATTATTACTTTCAGAATAAAAAGAAAAAAAAAAAAAAACTCCGACTGAAGGATTTAGCATATATTAAAGCTCCTTGGCAAATCCTGTATGCAAAAGTTTCAGGTATTGCATATTCTGTGGATAAAGGTCATCGGTCAATGGAACAGTCACCTAATTGTCCCATCTCCCCCTTTTCTTTTGTGATTGTCCTAGGGCAAGTGAACTATATCCATCACAACATAAGTAGAATTCTTACACGCTACTTGGACATGATTAAGCCAGAGCACTCAGCAAAAAACTGATAAGAGAAGATACACATACATTTTTTCAAGGCTGACCAAGCAGTCAATGCTGCATTTTTCTGTGCTTGCTTCTTTGTTTTAGCAGGTTCTCCCGTAAAGCTCATTCCAGCAAGTTCCACTATACTAGAAAAAACCGGAAAATGGCCTGGTCCAGATCGAACAGTTGTGTAAACCGGCAGTTTCAGCCCAGCTCTGTGAGCTGTTTCTTGAAGTAGATTCTTGTAAACTCCAGTTTCATCCTGTGTTGAAGAGATTTTCAAAATGTGCATCAGGTTAGTTTTCAATGATGAATGGAAAACCATGACAGTTATTACACCCCATGTAGAATACAAAATGAGCCAACATAAATTTACTAAATTTCAGTTGGGTATAATTTCTCATGTAAGAAAAAGGTTGAAGACATGAATAGAACACTGAATGCATGACATGTTACCCCAGCCCCCAACTTTTTTGTGGTCCACTGCAGGTTCAGTGGGCAAAGGAGTTGCACAACGGGAGGAAGCCATTTGAATCCATAATCGGTTGTTTGGGTTCAATGGGCCAAAGAGCAACCAAATGGGAGAAAGCCATTCCCCTTCTCATCAACCATCCTTTCCCTACTAAGCAGGATTCAATTACAGGTCACTTTTATGATGACAAGGGATTTTACTAGCTACTACAGATAAACCCACTTTAGATAATGCTACAATGATATATGGATCACATATTCCGTGTCTTTTATAACATCTAATATTAAGTCATCTCTAGATATTATAAAGGACTGTTCTAAGCCTAATATAATGTAAGGTGAATACTTTAATTTTCATAATAAACCATTAAATGACTCAACATAGGCAGGTGAGAAATTAAATAAAAGGGAAAGGAAGCAAAAACTGTGTTAAGCATATACCAATACTCTTGCAGCCAGGGCTTTAGAGGGGCCTTTCTTTGCAAGCGCACTAAGTGCAACCTCAGCTGCAGCATGCTCGGCTTGTCTGAGAGTACTGCAGAAAGTTGGACTCTCAAATATTTCCCCATTGAAGTTAACTGTAGCTTTGAAGCGAGGGGCATGGTCCGGTCCTTCTCGGATACAGGAATACGATGGCAAGTTGAAACAGCTTCTCTGAGCTAATTCTTGCAACTGATTCTTATACATCCCTGTGATTACAGACGACCACAAGGGAATCTACAGAAAGAAATGAAAAGTTCAGTCTTATTGGAAGATACAGAGAAAAAGCAGTTCATCTTTCAGAGAAGCTTAATAATTAGTCAAACAATCCAATGAGACCAAAAACCATAAAAGCATTTTGCCAGAGGGCTTTTCTCAGGAAAACAAGTCTTTAAATCAAACAGCCAAGAAAATAATTAAACCATGAAGAAACCAACCAAAAACAAGAAAGACAAATGACAAAGTATGAATCATATGATGATCTTTAACTCAGCCCAATTATCAAACTCCAGATACACTTAACCAACCATGAACTACACAATGAATTGAACCGACACAGTATTCACTACTTGTATTGAATTGAAGGTGAAGGTTTTTAAATTTTATTTAAAGAACCCCATTTATAAATTATTATATTCAAAAACCACTTTTCATCAGATCGCCCACAACCCAGATACTTATTCAGATTCAGGAAACCACAGAAGTGTCTCAAGAATCAAACTTTACACCAAAAGTCATTCTACATACTTCTACAAAAAAATACCCAGAAACCTGAGTGACATAAAACTAACACCTATTCGATCAAATTTCAATCTTGAGAGCTTGAGCTGTGAATAACAAATAAAGATAAAAAGGAAAAAAGAAAAAGAAGAAAGGAACTTCACCTCAAAAGGGTCTCAAGCATTGAAATTTTTTGACCCATGTGAAGGGTCGATCACTGGAATATAGAAGTCATAGTTACCACAAAGTTGAAGTACAAGAAGATCCAAACGACAAACTCGGCTTTATTGATTAAATTTTGATCTTTTGTGCTGTTGTTTTTGTTTTCTGTGTAGAGTAGTGTGTTTCTACTTTCTACTGCTATAAGCTACTGAGCTAAAACTGTGTACCGTTGTGAACTGACTGATGTTTCACATACTTCATACTTGGATGATGAAGTTACTTGTTTCTTCTTAAACTACACAAAATAATACAAACGATAAAAAAGAAACTCCCTTCTTTTAACATCAACCACTATTGAATGTTGTATTAAGTTTTGGTGGTTTTGATAATTGCGCCTACCGCACTAAATCTTTAAGCGCATTTATCTACTCCGAATGTTGATATCTTGTGGCCTTTGTTAAATGTCTTTTTCTTATAATTACTCTCCTGTGTAGGCCTCTCAAGCAACTCTCTCTCTCTCTCTCTATATATATATATATATATATTCAATTATATTATTGGACACTGACTCATTCATTTTAAACTCAAAATCCAACCTAAAATTTGATCTTAGATCCTGTTCATGTTCAAACTCTTAATCTCCCTGGTCTTCCATAGCTTTCAAAAAAAATGACGTGATGCGAATCATTTCTTGGAATCAGTATAAAACCAACAATAAACTGAATAATCAAACTAAATTATTCTTTTAGCTGATATTTTCTGGAGAATGAGGCTTTAAATTTGACAATAAGGCCATTGAAAAAGCATTATGAAAACACATCTTAAGAATAATGTAGTTTTGAGTTTATGATGACATTCGAAATTTTTCCTAAGTATTCTTCAAATATTCTGTGTCTGTGGCAAGCCAAAGATGAACTAGCCTGTAGACAATTAGTCTTGCAATATTAGAGTTATGGTCAGGTGTTTTTATGGTACAAAAAAAATTAAAACCGAAAATATAAGTTAATTAATAAACAAAGTAAAAGACAAATGGAAGTTTTTAACTTCTGTCATAACCAATTAATCTGTTAAGTGTACAACTTAGGCTCTTGATTTATTTATCATAAAATTCAAAGCTAATTAATTTAAGGGAGAATAACATTTTCCCACCCAAGGTTTGGCAGAACGAAAACTATTTTTCCCACCCGTTAAGTTTCAAAATAACACTTTTCCACAATTCGTTAGGTTCTGTTAGTATTTTCTGTTAATATTTGATTGAAAAGACTAAAATACACTTAAATCGTTTATTTCTTAATTAATTTATTATAAATTAAATTTATTTAAGTCAAAGTCTTTACTCGATTATTTATTAGTTCAAGTGTAAAGATACATTTTTTCTTTTGTTTATTTAATTAATTAGGAATATTGATTTTCTATGTTAATTAGTAAAAATGAAAAACATTATATTATGAAAAAAATTATAAATTTAATAGATTATTGATTAATAGTGATGAGATATTGATGATATTATAAATAAATAAATAAATATTAAGGTCATTTAACTTTAAACAATTTTATAACATTATTTCTAACTTTTTAGGAAGGGATAATTATTTTTTCTTTTTTGACTATTTAATATTTGACATTTTGGCTAATTAAAAAATAATAAAAAATTTATAAAGTCAAATATTTAAGGGTATTTTCGTTTTTTCGGTAAAATATTAAAGAAAAACATAACAGAACCTAACAAAGGGTGTGAAAGTGTTATTTTGAAACTTGATAGGTGGAAAAGGTCATTTCGCCAAACCTTGGGTGGGACAAGGTCGTTCTCTCTTAATTTAAAGTAATAATGCTTCCATTGGGAACTAATTATCAGAAGGATGTAAATGTAAAATCCAAAACTTTAAGGTTCAAAACAAAGTTTTTCTAAGCAGATATTATCCACCTATCGTTTAGAATCTACCTTGAAGCAACGGCCATGAAAGCCAAACTCTCACAAAACGCCCGCCTCACATTCTCTTTTAACAGTCGTGTTTTTTCTTCACCAAATTTCAGCCCTTCTTTTCTACGCTCAAACTTCTTCGTCTGCTACAACAAGAATAATGGCTTCACTTTGTTTCTTCTCCAATGTCTTCACTCTTCATTCACCAAAGTGTCAAAGTTTCACCGGCAGTCGCCTCTCTTCTCACTTTCTTGATCATCAAATCAAGGTAAACTCCTTTCCTCATGTAAATTTATCACTGCCGTTTAAGTTTAGTTGTAAAAGATTCAACCCCATTACAGCTTCAGCAACAACAACTATTGAAACCAGTTCATATTCGTTTAGAAACAAGAATCCGAAAGATATTAACATTGTGGTGGTGGGTTCAACTGGGTATATTGGGAAGTTTGTAGTGAAAGAGTTGGTTAATAGAGGTTTTAATGTTATAGCAATTGCTAGAGAAAGAAGTGGAATTAGAGGTAAAAATGATAAGGAAGAGGCCTTGAATCAGTTACAAGGAGCAAATGTGTGCTTTTCTGATGTGACAAATGTGGGAACTTTACAGAAAAATTTGGAAAATTTGGGAGTTTCAATAGATGTGGTTGTGTCTTGCCTTGCTAGTCGTTCTGGTGGGGTGAAAGATTCATGGAAAATTGATTATGAAGCAACAAGGAATAGTCTTGTTGCTGGTAGAAATCGTGGGGCTTCACATTTTGTTGTACTTTCTGCAATATGTGTGCAAAAACCCCTTCTTGAATTTCAGCGCGCAAAGCTGAAATTTGAGGCTGAATTGGTGAAGGAGGCTGAAGAAGATAGTAGGTTTACCTATAGTATAGTGAGGCCAACTGCATTTTTCAAAAGCTTAGGGGGACAGGTTGAGTTGGTGAAAGATGGGAAGCCTTATGTGATGTTTGGAGATGGGAGGTTATGTGCTTGCAAGCCAATAAGTGAGCAGGATTTGGCTTCGTTTATCGCGGATTGTGTGCTGAGTGAAGATAAGATTAACCAAATATTGCCAATTGGTGGTCCAGGGAAAGCATTGACACCATTGGAACAAGGTGAGATATTGTTTAGACTTCTGGGGAAGGAACCCAAGTTCCTCAAAGTGCCAATTGGGATCATGGATTTTGCTATTGGGGTTCTTGATTTCCTTGTCCAGATTTTTCCTGCTATGGAAGATGCAGCTGAGTTTGGGAAAATTGGAAGGTATTATGCAGCTGAGAGCATGTTGGTTTTGGATCCTGAGACAGGTGAGTATAGTGCCGAAAAAACGCCAAGTTATGGAAAGGACACTCTGGAGGAATTCTTTAAGAGGGTTCTTAGGGAAGGGATGGCTGGTCAGGAGTTGGGGGAACAAACAATCTTCTAGATCTTCTTGTTTGTAAAAGTTGTAAATTTAGTGCTCCCTTGATATCACCAGTTTTGTAACACGGCATGCAAAAAGGTATGAGGTTTGCTACTCTCAGAAAGTTCTCAAGCTGTTGTATGGATTGTATTAAATGTTTTGAAAGATTTCCATTTATCCAATGCACAAATTAATGTTGTGGGAAATGTATGATAAATGTTCAATGACATGTTTATGTATGATTGTCTCTGTAGTGAAATTGATGCCAATCAATTGCAGAATGCTCATTTGGTAATGGACTTATGAGGGAATAAGGATTTGATATTGTGAAAGAAGGTTGAGCTGTCTTCTATTCCACCAATGTAGCCTATAATTCAACTAGCATTCTTTATTGTTATGTAGTGTGTTTTGATATGTCTTAAGTTGATCAAGCACCTGTTGCTTCAATTTTAGAACACACCACCAAGCAAGATTTGGAACCTTAGAATACCAATATATGGCCATTGTCTAGATATGTGTGGAGTAATGGAGTCCAAGAGTTTTTGTACTTTCAACAGTTCATGCCACAGATAGATTCTTTGTTTCTTTATCACTTGGTCATTAGCTTCATTGCCTGCCTCATTTAAATTGAAGTCCAATTAATCGAATTTTAGATGAAAAATTAAATTATCAATTACAGGAGGCTTATCTGAATAGTTTTGGTAGGTCAGACTTAGAATACACAGTTTCCAGTTTATAAATTGGCAGTGGACATAAAAAACTTCAATTGCAATGTATATGGGCACCATCTGGACAAAGGTAAAAGTCTTGGGTAGCCAGTATCCAGAGTTTTGCTTCAAGACTTGAGGGCAACCTTGTCATGTAGGGATTGAACTTGTAAGTTCTTATTGGGACCCTCTTTTTATTACTATGCTTTTCAACCCGTCTAAGTGATAGATTCACTTGATATAAACCTAAATTGCAGATTTATTGCAGAGATTGTAGTTAATGGTACTATTGCCTCCATGGCTGCATTGAAATGGTTTTACCTTTGTAAGTTTAAATCCTCTCATTCCTAATGAATGATCTTAGTTGTGTATTGTTTCCCCTACACTCTCGTACATCACAGATTGGCAAGTTTAATTACAACAAAGTTTAGGGCATTGCAGAGTCCCAAATTTGTTGTCACTTCCATGGAAAGAGTGGCAACAGCTGCATATTTGGTGCTTCATGCATCTGTTAATGTTGGCTGACCTGTGTAAGCTTTGGCTAGTAGAGATTCAACAATACCAGGCCGATACCCCCATCACTAGTTTTCTTTATATCTCAATTCATACAACAGTTCCCGTCTCTTAGCTGTTTCTGCTAGGAAGTGCTTTAACAGACCCACTATGAGTCCCCGTTACATTTTGTTGGGACTAGGGCAAGAAATCGCATCTCTGAGCAAATTGTTCTCATCATTGTGTTACCAGTGTCTGTTTATGGAGCGAAAATGAGAGGGCTTATAGGATAAACTATGTTGAGTGGTGAGTACACGAGGAAATGAGTCTTATGATTTGATCTTGGTTGTAGGAGGAGCATAGTTTTTATACCAATTACTTTATGTGAACTCGGCTTCTCTTGCATATATTTTTAGCAAATCTAGTCGTTGAGTGGAAGTCTAATTACCAAGTCTGCTAATAATTTGCCTCTCTTCCAACTTTTAAGTGACGATGTTTGAAACTATTTTGTCTAGACTGATCCTTTCGGTGTACAAAATTTCTAAATGGTAGCCATCTGAATTTCTATTTTTAAATGCTCAAGTAGAGTTCAATAGCATCTTATCCCAACAATAGGGTCTGCCAGCATAACAAATGTCATCAACTAAATTACATATTTTAGTGAGAACTTACAAATAAATTTAAATAACATACAATGAAAGAACATACAAATAAATTAAACACCGTTCAATAAACCCTTGCCATACATAAATACACAGAACATATAATTAAATTAACACATAAACTGCAGCAATGGCATGATGGAGGTAGAAATTTTATAGCTGGTATCTCTAATCACGGACCCTTTTGTAAAGGGAGTAAATAGACAGCACAGAGAGCAGAATAAGCAGAATGGAAGCAACTAATGCGACCGCGGACGCGCTTCCTATATGTCGACAGTACTTTCCGTAAACAGAGCATATCTCTGACCACCCTGTGTGTTTGTTTCCCTTTAATCCGATATATGCAACCGCAGTTGATGCTCCGGTTGCTGAACCTACAAGTCCCAGCATCACCACGTCCCAGAATGCTAAAAGTAGCAAGTAAAGTTTCGGGGAAACCCGCTTCGCCATTACTGAAAGTGATACAAGAGTTGTGATGAAACTGTAGACAACAGCAATCGATAATGCTACCACAAAATATCTGCACAAAGACATAGGAAATTGACGTTAAACTTCCATAATCGAGAATCATTCTAGTCATCCATAAATAAGGCAAAAGATGAATGCATTTGAATTAATTACATGAAGGCTGGAGAGTAAGTAAACTTGGAAGGAACTCTGATACTAAAGGGTGGCACCGCCAGGGCCACAAGTTTTGTCTCCTTGCTTGTAACCATGACAACAACAGCACTCAGTGAGGCTGCAAACAATAACACCCGGAGAGTCACATCAACGGCGGAACAGTTTCCACCGGCAGGAGACTGCTTTTCGGATCTTGACGGCGTTTCTGGCTTATAGGTAGAGGCCATAGCTTTTAGTTATTTGTTGCCTAAAAGACTACTCAAAGTTATAATGTCTTTCTTTGCTGTACTGTGCAAAGATGAACCATTTCCATATATATATATATATGAACCTCGGGTAGTGATGGATGAGGCTCAAATATAGATATATTAGCAGTTCCCTGCACGTCGGGTGAAGTTGAAATTAATAGCTATTGTTAATCGCCATGGACGTTGAATTTGAGCTGGGATATATCTTTAAATTAGTTAAGGCTACTTCATTTCTGCATATATAAATGAATTATAAAAAACTTCCTTCTGTAATACGAAAGATTATGAAATCTTCGGGTTTTTACATGAAAACCATTCTGATTTAGTAAAAGAACAAGGAGACCCATCAATTCTGGAATGGAATACTTACATTCTTGTTTTTGAAAGAATTTGTGAAAGGTTGATTCTGACAAAGAATTTTGGGTACAACAATTATACACTACTTTGCCTTTTATTCTGGAATAAAGATGGGTTGACAAACATTTTTCACAATTTTTTCTCATAAACGTTGACGTAGCTCACATTTAGACAGATGAGACTCATTGTTGGGCAGGTAGGATCCATTGTGAACCGATCAATTACGAGATGACACGTCGTATTGTGAGCAAGAGTTAGTGAGAAAGGTTTGTGAGCATAGTAATACTGTTTATCCTGCAATAAAAAGAAGCTGGTATCTTTTTTCTATTGGGTTGTCCATTTTACCTTTATGATATAATCTTTTCACAAATATCCTCAATTCAAGGGTTTAAGTATCATATTTTGAAATCTATGGGTTTACGTATTGCCAATAAACCTCAGGGGTGTCCATGAAAAACTGGGATATCTTGCTTATTTGCTGCGCAATATCCATAAAAGAATAGTTATCTAGTTGGAATTGGAAAGAAGTAATGAGTTGGCCATTGTATATAAAATTACAGGGGAAGAGAATTGTCACCGCTGGCGCGGGGGTGGCGCCGAGGTGTCGTGTTGATTTGTTTTGCGAACTAACTTGATTTTCAGGCAGAACGCGGTCTTAGTTTATAGAAATTTAATTTGAAGATTGAAGAAAACTTCTGGCAGTCAAAGAAAACTACGGCCATATCATGTCTCATCAAAACCGCAGCTCAACTTGACTGCATGTATAAGCAAACTTATATTATGTAATTTATGTGGTTTCTATATATATATTCAGATTTTACCTGCATGTGAAATATATTAAAGACGATAAATTTATTGCATAAGTAAAAATTTAATTTTATATTAAAGCTTAATTAACAAATCAACTAACTTAATTTTTTTTTTTTTTTTGTTACGAGATTAAAAAAAAAAAAATGAAAACTCACTGTTACAAGATGACCACCGTCAGCAGCCACTGGTCATCCGTGGCCGAAGGCGAGTTTACCGACATCACCTAGATCATAAGTCTATAAGAATTGATTATACAAGTGCTGTTGCATACCAATGGGCATTTGGAGCTCGCTAGGAATGCCGATAAGGATCATAAGCCTAAAAAATTGAATTTTTAGCATGAAGAATAATTTTTTTTTTTTTAAAAAAAAAAAGACTTATCTTAAAAGAAAAGGTTGAGAAACTATAACAAGCTTAAAACTATATATATTTTGTAATATAAAATTTCCCATACAAAACTTATTTATCTATTAAAAAAATTTAAATTTTAAATTAAAAAAAATTTAACTTTATCAAAGTAAATATAAAGAGGTAGAGTTTATTGAATATGGTCAAGTTTCAAAGTGTTTATATCAAAGTGATTATAAAGAATGCGAAATTAAAGGTAATTTAATAATTAATTTAAATATAAATTTCTAATACTAGAGTTAGAATTTTGAATTTTTGAGGTTGATAGTGGGTCTTGTTTGATTTCTCCATTAGCCCATTAATTTTATGAACTTTTATTATAGATGGGCTGAGCTTAGGGTCCATTACGTATTTCCTAACTTCTACCTTAGATAGGGGTATAATATCATTTAACGATAAATAATGATAATAATAATAGTTGTTCTTATATATATTAAAAATTATAAATATATTCATTATTTTACTTTAGATCTGAAATATTTTAATATATTCTCTTTGTATAAAGTTGTGAACTCTAAAAAAACTCAAAAAACTAATATAAAAACACTTCTTCGACTCAAGTTTTAGTAAAGTCTTAGTTATATGATCAATTTTCCATTTAAACAAATGTAATTTGCAATTGTTTTCTCAATTATAAAATTTAGAAAAGAAGAAAGAAATAATAAAGATCTTTCCGAAAGAAGATTAAAAAGGTAGTTGTATTTGCTTTAGGTCTAGAAAGATATGAATATGAAAATTAATTCATGCTATAAAGAAATATTAAGTAATTTTGAAAATTACCATGAGTTTTAATTTATTTGTGAAATTATGAATTTTTATTGACTTAAATTTAATTTAATTTTTTGATAACTACAAATGTAAAGCTTCCAAATGAAATTATGGAATGAGAAAATGAACTCCCACTTTTATTGAAGTTTTTACATGGACTCCCCTGAGATTCAGTGACAAAACAAGGAGACTTGCATGTTTCAGAATGAAACACTTACGTACACCTTTATAGTTTCAGAATAAAATACTTATACTTTTGTAATTGAATGATGCTTGTGAAAAGTAACTATCATAAGAGTAAATATACAATACAATGGAAAATTAAACTTTTTATTTTCCAAATGTCTTATTGGATTGTCAAAACTTATATATTTTAAAATCATTTAAGATATTTAATAATTTGATCATCGAGATAAATCAAATATTAGCTTCTTTTTTGTTGTAGGAGAAAAGATAAAATATGTGTATATTAGTCACTGTATCAAGATTCCGTGTTTTAATTAACTTTTCACAAAGTGTTTGTTAATTATAAGGGTGTAAGTTTACATGTGGATTTTCTTGTTTCTCTCACTACACCTCAGGGGTGTCCATGTAAAGACATCCACTTTTTTTTACATATTACCTATAGAGCAACATATATAAATAGATTAATTCCTTAATAAAGTCACGATGAATCTAATAGTGTTTAAACATGGTTCTCACAAAATTTATACAAGGATGTCCTTATTAGAGAATTAGAATATTCTTTTTGTATGAATTTTCTTTTCTTAAATTTTTTATTACTATATTTATTATTAACTTTATGTAGATGCAAAAAATCTACCTTTACGAAAATAGGGACTGATCCCGTGAGGTTGAAGTCACTAGCAATTCGCTGTACCTGTACACGCAAGAAACCAAACGTGAAGCAAACGTGAAACACTAGGGTGGTGTTTAGCACTCCGATGCTCAAGTCAGCAAGGCCGAGTGAGGCTAATTTAGTGAGGGTTAAGGAGAGAGAAGGTTACCAGAAGTCTAGTCAGAGATATAACTATAGCTGTGATGCGAAATTCTCGAGAGTGAGAACTGCGGGGTCTAAAGGTGTCATGTCTCCTGTGAGAGGGTTGGCTTTTGTTTATATAGCGACTGTAGGATCTTTGAATCCTGGTAGAACTGAGAGTCTTTGGAGTTGATGTTTTGTAAAAAAGGAGAACCTTTGGCTCCCTTACCTCAGTAGCAAAAAGAGTCCCAACGAGTTTAAGACATGAATCTTAGACGAGTTAGGGTAGTGATGGACCACTTCGATATAGTTCAGGTAGTACTGGGATAAGTAGGCAACCCTGGGCTCCAAGTAGATCCTAAGTCCAGAAGGTGGTCTAGGATCAAAGGGCCTAGGCCTAGACAAGCTGGTGACGAGGCCTAACGAATCGGGCTTTTGTTGATTAGGCCCAAGTAGTGAACAACATGGTAGATGTACCGAACAGACCTGGAATGCAGATTCAGTTGCGGGTCCGATCGGAATTAGGCCATGGCTCCGAGCTTCGTTGATGGTGTCTTCATCTTTGGGCCTATTTGGGTCGAGGACATTTTTTGGTCCTAACAGTTTGCCCCCCACTCTCTAAGTTAAGAGGTGCTTAGCTTACAGAGTAGATGTTGCGTGGATGTGTGCCTAGTCGTCTTTTGTAACCGATTGGTTGAATATGTGAGTGTATTGCTTCTTCGTTCACGAAACCGAACAATATAGCTTTTACTGTAGGTGATGCACTTGGCATACCAGGCCGAGTGGGTGAGTGGAGGTGAAGCACAAATATACCTTCACTCGACGTATCTAACCAAGTGGAAAAGTGGAGTTGACCTTGGAGAACTCGCCCAGTGCGTTAGACTGAGTGAGGGGATTTGAGGCACATCCTGTGAAGATGTCCTCACTCAGTGCATCGAACTGAGTGAGAGGATGTGAAATGTCATTTGAAGGTGTCCGAACTCGGTGCATTGAACCGAATAAGAGAAGTCATGAGAGCTTGTTTCACTTGGCGCGTCGTGCCAAATGATGTGTTGTGAATTGGTTGTTTGGAGCTTCCCATTCGGCCAGGTAGACAGGGCGAATAGACACGAAGTATCAGAAGGTGTTTGATCAGGTAAGTAATGGGATGAATCATCTGCACTCATTGGAGATGTAGTCGCTCGGTCGGGTTGACCGAATGATGATGCTAGGGTAGATGCAACTCTCATGCTTTTGGGTATATGCATTCTTGAACTTAGTGACATGTGTAAGGTCAGGATTTCGACCTGTTTTGGGCGAGAATTAGGAAAGTCAGGTCGCCTAGGGCAAAACGAGGTTTTGCCACATGGAATTGTTCGAAGGGACAGTTATTAAATGCCATCCCCGAGTGCCTTTGGGTATTTCATCTTTCTCATCTCAAAGTACTAAAGAGTTTCTTCCCAGGTCTTTTGTAGGGGAGAGCTTTTAGAGTTTCAGAGATTTTTTGGCCTTTTTTCATCGTAACTGCTATTTCTGAGTCTTTTTTTTTTTTTTTTTTTTTTTTTTTTTTATTTTTTTTTTTTTTTTTTTTTGGTTGGTTTCAAGGATAGCATTTGTGTTGTTTTAAGGTGGTTTCGAGTGTATAGAGAAAAGAGAAAAAAAGGTTTTGGGTTTTTCCTAGGTTTGCTTAAGAAGGAGATTCTCTGATTTAGGAGTGTTTTATTGCGGT